TATTTCAATAGCCTTATTGGATATTTGGATTATGTTTAAATAAGGGCTGGATGGTTAGCTCACTCAGAGTATTAGGCTGATAACATGAAGGTCAAGGGTTCAGATCCCCTTGCTGGCCAGCTGCCCCCCCCACACACACACACACACACACACACACACACACACACACACACACACACACTGTAAATGATACATTAGTTATTCGAATTAACACCAGAAAATTAACCAAAATTAAAGTTGAAATCACTTTAACCTCCCAGGGCACAAAAAGGCAAATATCTCAATTCTGTCTACTCAATAAGTTTAATGATTATCCACTTGTGCTGCTTTATGTTTAAACTACTACAAGATTGGTTCTCTAATTATGAGAAAAATCTAAATCCATTTGGAACATCTGATTAAGTTCTGCATCACAATGTTCTCTTTCTGCCCTGCTCCTAATCTCTTCTGTGAGTTTTTATTGCAATCAGGCAGGAGAAAGATGCTGAATGTGTGTGTGTGTGTGTGTGTGTGTGTGTGTGTGTGTGTGTGTGTGTCTTCTTTAGATTAACCTATCCCAGCTGTATTTGTCTGGATCACTTCTTTAATCACTTGAAGACCCTGAATTAGTCTACTTTTTCCTGCATGGTGGGCTTAAACCAAAGAGTCTCTTTGTATCTTTTCTGCTTATAACAGAAAAAACCCAGCATTCTCTCAGCTGTACGCCTCCATATGGCCGGAAACTCAGCTTCTCTTCTCACTATTGGTCTTCCTTGTTTTTCTTTTCATCTGACTTCTACTATCTCTCCAGTTATCTCATACCATGATTTCAAATTTGTCCTTAATATCTTGTTATTTGTATATGTATACTTATATATTTTATATATACATAATTTTGGAGCCACCTTGGGTAGGGATAGGTGTTCAAATTTATGTGTCAGACATACAGACCTCAGTGTCCTGGAGACTTTTGACAACTCAGAGTGAGGGCCAAGATTCAGAACATGAGGAACATTTTTTTAAAAAGGCAAATTTACTAAGCACCTACTCTGTTCCACACAGCATGCCTAGATGTGTGGAAGATGAAGATAAAGTAAGACATTTCATGATGTGTCTTTATTTAAGGAGTTTACTGCCTAGCATATAAGTGTCATGTGATAACACAATACACAACCATAAAAAAATGGTACAAACGAGTTTAAACGAGTTCTTCTGTACCCAGTGAGTCCATGAGGGAAGACCACATATGTGATCTTCATATTGGAAAAAAGGGGCAGAGGCAGAGGAAATAGCATGAGCAGTGCAGGAGGATGGTAAAACCAAGGAAGGTTTGGGGAACTGTAAGTAATACAGCCTGCTGCACTAACAGCACATGGGGAAGGAGGAGGAGGAGGTAAGACCTAAGGAGCTGGGGCCAGATTTGGGGAGATGGGGGGGATGGGTTTTGAATTTGAGCTTTCCTGTCTAATACCATTTTAATTATGTCATTTCCTTGCTCTAAACTTGCACTGGCTCCTCCTTGCCTGACGAATGCAGGAAGAGCCAGTAGCTGTGTAGGAAGTAGAATCTTACTATATAGGGCTAGGATGAAAGAGAAAGATGAGCTCCAGCCACAAAATTTAAAGCCCTGCTGATTGTGTTTCCCATGTTTAACAAGGTATCAATCCCAAGTCAGTGCTGCTCCACAGAACATTCATTAGGGCCCCAGGTAAGATACTGAATCTCTCTTCCCATCCCTGACTGCTTATTATGCCAACTCCACAGTCACAGATCCTAAAATTCTCAAAGAAGTAAGCATGAATCAGGTACTTTTTGGCTATTGGGTCAAGTGTTGGACTGGAAATTCAGTGACGATATTCCAATTAACTGGTTGTGTTTCCAGGGGCCAGGGGCTACTTACTCAGCCTTTTTTAATGTTCCAATTTACAGTGATGATTGTATTGTTTCTGTCAGGGGAAAAGTAAAGAAAGCTAATAAAAACATTATTATACAGCACCCAGCCCTGGCTACAGATTTTAGTGTTAGTGCTCAATAAGTTCTAATCATTGTTTGAAGCATTTCTTTCTTTTTTTTTTTTTGTCCTTTTTTTTTTTTTGAGACCGGCCGCACTGCGCTCAGCCAGTGAGCGCACCGGCCATCCCTATATAGGATCCGAACCCACGGCGGGAGTGCTGCTGTGCTCCCAGCGCCGCACTCTCCCGAGTGCACCACGGGCTCGGCCCTGAAGCATTTATTTCTGAGGCACAGATAGTGATGCTTATGGCTAGTACAGTTCTTTTAGACTCATTTGAATTTCTGGCTGTCCTCAAGAACCAGGAGTTCTCTAAGTTACAAATATGCCTAAAGAAGATGATCAGAATTCATTTGCTGTGTTGTTCAAATGGAAACCAAAAGAAACTCTATTTAAAAGGTCATTCTCATATTGTTGATTTTCAGAGATTGATTCCTAAGATATTAATTAGTATTATATTTACAAGATTGACATAAGAATCTCCAGAACTTTAAAATGAGTATAAGAATATACTACACTTTTAATGTTAATATTAAAGTTAGCTTTATAGAAGGCTTAGTAACGCAACAATGCACAAGAGGAAAGTTACGTGTATTCAAATGAATGTGCTAGTTAAAAAGCAAATACGGATATGTTTAAAGGGTGCTTTTTTCTCCTCTCCCCCATGTCTGCTGACAGAGCTTTCTGGTCTCAGAAACAGACAGCTTCCCCTGTTTCTTCTACAAAAAGCCCAGATTAGTTCTGAGGCTGGTGTGCTGGTGGGGGGAAATCACCTAAGTGCTTGTCATTCCTCTAGTCTGTTAAACATTGATGAGCAGTGTAATCGAGACAAGTCCCAATGTGGTTTATTGCTCCACAGGGTTTTCCCTTGGGTGCAGAGGATCTAACATGTCCAAATTCCCCCAAGTGCTCTCCTCAGCCCTCCTTGTCATATTCTGTAATTAAGTAAAGGTGACTTTCTTATATCCAGATATCCAACTCTCTAATCAAAACTTTAGTCTCTCATTCTTCCCCAACCCCTATGACCAATTCATTGCCAAATCATTTAATGTTTGCCTCTTACATATCTGTCAATAGTACTAATCTCTCCATCCCCTTTGCTTTCATTTATCACCCGGTATTTTTAACTCCCACTCCAAGTGAGGGCCAGGAACAAGCCCAGGGGCCAGAGGCAGATGGAGCTTCATTAGGCCTGGGGCTGGAGAGACACTATGTGTGGTGTGCAAGACTTGTCCAAGGCAATGCGTGATGGAAGAGCCTACAGGGAAAACTAAGAGCCACATTTGGAGAGAAGCTTTGGAAGTAACAAACAAAGACCCTCTGTGCATTTGGCCATGAGAGGGGATGGGGTATAGGGCAGTTGCTGAGTTATTACTCAGTATTTGAAGCTTGCACTTATGGTGGGGTGTGATGGCCAGTGGGACAGGGGTAGGCAGACATTGGAATTATCATAAGCTCCTAAATCAATCCTCTGGTCTCAATAGCACTATTTAAAATTTTCAATTGTTTTGTTAGTCTTTTTTCCTTTCATCTTTCCACAAAATTCTAAGCTTTGTGAGGGCAGGGATCCTTCTATCTTATTTACCAATATATCCCCAGTGCCTCTCACAGTATTCATACGTGACAAACACTATAACATATTTATTGAAATACTGAAAATATAATCTCATCACTTCAATGCTTAGAATTCTTCAGTGACTTCTCAAAGCCTTTAGGATAAAATAAATCTGGAATCCTCAGTTTAGCATGAAAACAAACAAAAAATAAGTCATTTTGGTTACTTTGGGTTATTTTCCCACCTAATAGCTTACCATTTTCCCTCTCCTCTTCCTGCAAGGAGGGAACATTCCAGTCACAATAAGCTACTTGCAGTTACTCACATGGGTTATATCCTTTCACTTTTCCCCTCCTAATCACAGTTCACCCAGAAATGGACAGTTCAGAAATCACCCTCTCCAGAAAGCTTTTCCAAACTCAATGCCTGGCTTTGGTTAGGTGCCAAAACATTTCACATCGTTGTATTGCAATTTCTCTGTTCTCTTCCTCTGGAGAGCCCTGACTAACACAGGAACTTTTCTATTTTAACTCCTTGTGTCTAGAATTAAGCACAACGAGTAAGTGAAAAATTAAATCACCTTCTCTCTTTTTTATATTTAAAAAGTTAATATGTGTTTTGTAACCACTACAATAGAACCTACTTCACAAACTTGAAATCACCCTCTCTTAATAGAATAGGACTCTGCAGTGCAGAGCCGGTCAGCTGGTTGCAGGAAAATACTAATGAGATTAACTAAAACCAGATACCAAGCATATCCCTGAGTCCACTGGTTACTTGAACATCTGAGGCATAATAAAAAATAATGAGGAAAATATACATTTTATAAGTCCATTCATTCTGATTCAGTGCCAAGGGAATACTTTGCAAAGATTTCAACCCTGTGAATTGGGAGTAGTTGAGTGGGAGCCTTGTCCCTCCTGGGAGGCAGCAGGACTTGCTGTTCTCCTAGAAAAAAAGCTGTCCTAAAAGCTTGGTGCCTTTCTCTGTGCTTCCCATCCAACGCCTTCTTGTGTGGCATTTGATTTCTGAATGACTGATGAGTCACTGGGAAAGACCTCTCTATACCAGCTGCTCTGGCCTTCCTGTCAATCAGCATCTGGTCTAAACAAATCCTCAACATGTCTTCATCTTGTGTGGCATTTGATTTCTGAATGACTGATGAGTCACTGGGAAAGACCTCTCTATACCACCTGCTCTGGCCTTCCTGTCAATCAGCATCTGGTCTAAACAAATCCTCAACATGTCTTCAGTGAGGTAGGGAACAGTGATCTGTGAGTACGTGGCCAAAGCTCTGGGCAAGGATTGCCAGCCTCAGGCTCTCTTTCTGTTTGCCGAACTCCTGGGTTACAATGGAAAATGCCAGCTCATTCCCAATATGCATGGTGGAGTAGTGACTTGTAAATATGTACTCAAAATCTCTGAGAATGAAGTGTACACCGAGAGAGCTCTCACCGAAATGTTGCACATCACCAATTCCATCTTCTTTGGGCTCCTCTCTCTGGGTATCATCCTCCTCCATCAGGACCTTCTGCTGAATTTCAAAGGAGAAACTGGGACCGATGCCAGCCTGTACTCAGCAAGAAAAAAGAGGTGCCATGACTGAGAAGCTGAAAACTGAACCGACCTCTGAAAACTGCAGGTCAACAGAACTTTATCTTTTGAACACAGATGTTGAACATCTGGAGAGCACTAACTGCTGTAGAAGTTGAAAAACAGACATCCTGGATCACCCTGTTATCCCACTGCTAACTACCCTTTAGAATGACAAAACTTAAACACCACCAGCTCCACCCACAACAAAAGTGCACTGCTGAATAGAACAGTTACAGATTTTTAAAAAACAAATCCTAGCAAATGAGTAGTGGGCAAATACTTAGACCAAAAGAGGGACCAGTTTCTCAGCCTAGTTGTTTCTGCTTGGGTTTGTTGTTGCTTATTTTCTATTTTTTATCCCAGGTTTACTATTTACCAACCACCTTGTTTGGTACTTTGTCTTTTTATTTCTTTTAATTTTTTACAAAATCCCCTTATTATAGAGAAGTAAACCAATGTTCTTGTTATCAAGATCTCCCCGAGGAGCACCTGTCTTTAAGTCTGGCCTCCCTCACCTCTCATATGTCCAGTATTCTCTGCAGACTCAGGGGTTCCCCAGGAGATGACATGGTCCCACCTGCATGTAAGGGCTTCCATTTTTGTGCACCTGCTATGCCAAATATTTTTTCATTTGATTTTCACAATGACTCTGAGACTAGGTATTGTCATTTTCACTTTACAAATGAGGATCCAGAGGCTGGGGAACAATAAGGGAGTTACCAAAAGTCACAAAGCTAGTCATGTTCATTGCCTTGTGAGCTGACAACCCCACCCCATCTGCTAGTCTAATGCTGAAAAAGTATCAGGTTTTGTTGAAATTGCT